TTATCCCCCTCCTTATTTCCTCTCCCACTTTCTGTTATTTGCCTTCCCATTTAGAAAAGATCGTCCTACTTCCTATTATTTTTGTTCTTTTAAAGTATTGTTTATTTTAATCTTTAAAATTTTTTTTATTAATTTGCTATAAGGTCTTTCTATGCAGCTTGGACTCAGTAATCCTCCTGCCTTAGCCTCCCAAGTGCTGGGATTACTGTAATGGGATTTGAATCTTTCTTCTAGTGATATGTTTTGGAATGTATTTAATTTTTACATATTGTGAGTTTCCCAGTTTTTATTCCTTTTTTTTTTTTTTTGGCAGAATTGAAGTTTGAACTCAGGCCCTTGCACTTGCCAGGGAAGTGCTTATTTCACTGAGCTATCTCCCCAGCCCCTCCCAATTTCTTTTTTATTGATTTCTTATTTCATTCCACTGTAATTGGAGAACATATTTTATATTATTTCAATCTTTGTAAATTTGTTCAAGTTTGTTTTATTGCCTACCTACCATGTGGCATGCCTTGCAAAATATTCTGTATGGACTTCAAATAAATGTGTATTCTGCTGTTGCTGAGTGGGATATTCTAGTCTTTTAGGCCTGCTTGGTTTGTAATAGTGTTGTTATGGTATTGCTGTTCAATCTTTTTATTTCTTGATCTTATGCTTAGTAGCTGTGTCCATTATTGAAAGCGAGGTATTGAAATTTCCAAAAAAATTTTTTTAATGTATTTAGTATAGGTTCTTACACACAGTTTCGACTCTTAGTGATCTTCCTGTCTCAGCCTCCCCAAAACTGGGATTACAGGTGTGCACCACTATGCCTGGTCTTGGTAGGTGGCTCAGCATGCCTGGGGGCAGCGCTGGCATGGCATGTGGTTCCGGGGATTGAACACCAGTCCCTGCACTTGCCTAACCAGGCGTTTAATCCTCTGAATGATCTCGCCAGCCCTGAAATTTCAATTAAGTCTCTGTTTCTTTTATTTCTGTCAGTTTTTTCATCAGATGTTTCTGTATCTTATATTGGGTATTATCTGTTTATAATTATTATTTCTGACTGATGGATTATCACTATACAGTGTCATTCTCTTGATAATGTTTTTGTTTAAAGTCTGTTTGTCTGATAGCATATTAGTATTTAGCCACTTCACTTTTCCTGTGGTTACTGTTTACATGATATATCTTTTCCCATATGTGAATTTAGTTGTATCTTTAAATTTAGTGTGTGTCTAATATAAGAACAGTTGATTTTTTTTTATAGTCAGTATTTTTATCTTGATGCTTTCAAGGTTTTTTTGTTTTGAGCATTTTTACTATGATGTATTTCTTTATAGATATGTTTATATTGACCCTACTTAGTGTTAGGAAGTTCTCAGACATTGAATACCTTCTCCACTTCATTCTCTTTTCTCATTGTGTGTGTGTACGCGTGCGCATGCGTGCGTGCACATGCGTGCGCACGCAGTCATATCTTTATTCAGTGGTTGTTCAGTTTCTGCTGGAGCACTGTTTCTTTTATCCTTCATACTGCATAATATCTGTCACTCTGTCTTTTAAGTTTTTCTTTCCCCTGTCAATCATATATGTTGTTGGGGAAATTACTGACTGAATTTGTTTTTTTTTTTTTTTTTTTAAATTACTGAATTTGAATTAAGTTGCTATACTTTTCAACTCAAGGATTTTATTTGATTCCACTCATCACTTAGGAGTCCAATTATTTAAATATAAAATGACCAAAATTGCATTTTTCATAACAAAATATAAAAATGAGAATTTTGCCAGATTTATCCAATACAAGAATCATCTGGTTGAAATGACACCTTCCCAGGAGACTCTCGGGATAGTCAGTACATAGACATGATGCTTGGGGTAAATTGCTAAGTATCTCTTTCTTTGTGGAATTTTTATTGACATGACATTACTTGCATGCCTTTCTTTACTTTTAAAATCATGGTTTATTACTGTCCTTTGAGCACATTTAGAGCAACTACTTTGAAGTCTGTTTAAAATCTGACATCTGGTCATTTCACAGGCAGTTTCTGTTTGCTTTCCTCCAGCATAGAGATCATACCTGTCAGATTTTTTTTTTCTTTTGGGTAGAAACTTTTCATTAACATTAAAGCCACTCGGTATATTATCCTCTCCCTACAGAACATGTTATTATTTGGTTATTTATTTGTTTAGGGACTAGCTGTATTATTTTAGGGAGGTCTGTTCACTTGTACCCTTTCCCTTTGCAGTGCTAATGCTTTGGGTCTCTTTTACTCTTTCCCTGACCACACCTAGGTAGCTGTTTATCCCACAGGTTGTAAGATGGTTGTCTTAGTGTTTTCAGTAGTGCCTGGGGACACAAATTGCTATGCAGATTAATCCAGTAAAATTCAGACAACTTAGATGGGATAGATTGAGATACATGGTTGTCTGTGAGAGAGACTGGGGGCTCCACTCCAGTGTTCCTTTCCCAGGATAATTAGATAGCCTATATAGTTTATTCTTCTATCTACCTACCTGTGCTCTCCCAATCTTTTTTTTTTTTTTTTTTTTAACAGTGACCTTCACTGTTTTTCGGAGGATTCCTAAGCTAGAACACTTCCATTCTCTGTTGCAAATGAAGTAACTTCTTTTGGAACAGTTAGGAGCTATTGTATGGTCTGTATTTCTCCTTCTGTAGAAAATTCCTTGAACCAAGGCTCTGGAGATGAGATGGCGTAGTGACAGAGACATGTTTCTCTTTGAGTGACACCTCTACTTTAGCAGTGTTGAAGGTACGTGGGTAAGGAAAGTAAGTCATTACAGGTTGGCTTTTTCTGTGAAGAAAGCAGCTCATTGTAGAAGTGGCAAGGACAAATGGGAACATTATATATCCTTGTTTGTCCTGGTATCATTGCCCTATTAAGGTAGAACCTTTGTCCTATCAGCTGTAGCTGAGACCAAAAAGTGAGTTCTGCCTCTTAGCCATGTCAGCCAGATGTTGTAAGGAATAGAACCAAAGATCTTTTCTGAAATTAAGCAAAGTCTTGAGGTATATATCCAGGAGTAAGGAAAGCATGTTCACATACAAGTTTTTGTATATGTTGATAGCAGCATTCATAGCAGGCCAAAAGTGGAATCCCAAATGTCCGTAGGCTAATGGATAAACAGAATGAATTATACCATAAAAAAGAGTAAGTAATATTTTGTAATTAAAGTGAATGAAATACTAATATATGCTATAATGTTTGAAAACATGTTAAGTGGAAAGCCAGTCACAAGGCCACTTATTCTGAGATTGCTTTTATATGAAATTTTCAGCATCTTGTAATCTATATAGACAGAAAATAGATTCATAGTTGCTAGACTGTGGGTATATGAAATAGAGTATATTGTTTAATGGGTACAGTGTTCTTTGTGGAGAGATGAAAATGCCCCAAAGATTATAGTGGTTGTTTTGTATGTCTTTGAATGTAGTGAGAACCATTGAATTCTATACTTAAGGTGTATTTTACTGTCTAAATCATATGTCAAAGTTACTAAAACAAACGAGAAAGTTTAGTTACTTTGTGTTTTAAATTTTATAACACATACCTGTTTTCCCTAATACGAATTGTACTACACTGGCAGAACTTTTATAAAGGTCATTGAAGTTATAAAAGGATCATATTGTATAACCCCAGTTAGAAGTCGTTTGCATCTGTGGGGACTACCTTGTGATCTAATGCAGCTAGCAAACTTTTCATGAATTCATATGAATTTTAATACTGTCTTATACATTGGTAAATTTGCTGTAGTAGGTCATAAGTGTATTGGTAGCTCTGACTTTTGTGGTACTTTTATTTCTAGGCTTGTAAATAAGTTCTACAATTTCTGTAACTTCTTAATACTTTCTAAATGATTCTTCAAAAATGTTGATAATATTTCTACCATTTTTACATCAGAAACCACTAATTAAAAAAGCTTAGCTTTGTTGAATATATTACTTTTTAATCCTGTCTCTTCAAATATTTTGGCATAGCTTGGTCATGTGCTTTTATTTACTTTGATTTTTATCCTTTCTAAAAATCCTTTGCTTCTTAATGTAATAAAGCAATGTTTCATTGGTGGTCCTCTTGTGCTAGCTATTTAGGATAACTTGTCTCTGAATACGTATTTACAAGGATACCTCAGTAATGCTTTTCTCTGTATTCTCAGGAAAAAAGGGATAGTAATAGTTCCTCAAATTTCTTTTACTATCTTTTTTTATTTTATGGAAAAAGGTAAAGCAAAATTTCATAACAAAATAATAGAATAACAATAGTTAGTACATTATATGTTGTTATCTTTAAAATAGTTGCTTAGGTTTCTTTTATCATCTTAAGTTTTCTTAAAGGTTAAGTTCTTTTTACCCCAGTAAATTGTTTTCACAATAAAATTAGGCACACATATCTAGGAATAACGTGTCTTAATATAAAATCTGTTTTTTTTTTTTTTTTTTTTTTTTTTTTTTCTTTTAGTTTAGTTAGCTATACTTTAAGATTGATTGATTGATTGATTTGGTACAGGGTCTCACTATGCAGCTTGGACTCATAATGATTCTCTTGTCTCAGCCTTCTCAGTGCTGGGATTACAGGTGTGCACCACCATGCCCAGTTTCAATGGCCAGCATAGCTCAGGCCAGTGTGGCATGCGGCCCCGGGGATTGAACTCAGGTCTTTGTGCTTGCCAGGCAGGCACTTAGACGGCTAAGCTAGCTTCCTGGCCCTATAATACTTTAAAACCATTTGAAAGTAACCTTGGAAAAAGGTTACTTTAAAATGTTTTAAATATTTATACATAAATAAGAAAAGCTTATTCTAATACCTTTTTTTAAATTATAAAATTTGCTTAATTGCTTATCTAAAAAAACTGAATAGCTGTTACTCCCTAAATAGAATAGATTAAATAGATTTAAATATGAATACTAGGATGAATTAATAAAATAAATAGATTAAGTAGTTTTAAATATGATATAGAAACTTGTCATGTGACATATTGGATTATTCCCCCTTCTTTTTCAGGAACTCTTGGTGTAATAACAGAAGC